GTTCATGAAACCTCTGAGTGTTGACTTCAATGTTCACTATTATATTTACATACGCTCTATCTCTGATATTGAGCACTCTATCCTATAAATACAGCACGCATTAAAACTATATTTCTTATATATATATATATATATATATATATATATATATATATATAGTTTATGCAAAACTAGGTAATCCGTATGGGTAGACCCAAGGAGAATGATATCCAGAGAGCTCAATGTAAATTCAGAGCAGATATGTTTAAATAAAAACAGAAGTGGTCTGTTTGTATTCAAACAATATATATATATATATATATATATATATATATATATATATGTGTGTGTGTGTGTGTGTATCTACCAATTAATATGCCCATATATGGAGATAATTTTTCACCAGACGACACAGTCAAACAAGGTTTGTTGTTTTAATTACTTTAGAAGGTTGGTGTGAGTAAATCCTGGTCATTATTTTGAATCCTTGTCTTTTAATATTAAAAAAAAGAAAGCACAACAACAAAAACAATTCAATATGGCGAATACTACAATTGGGGGTACGTAGAAACATTTGCAAATTTAGCAGACAACATATCAGACTGAGGGGATGCCAACACGTAAAGCATGAAACCAGATATGGTCGATTTTGATGGACAGACAGCTGTCATAGAGCAGACTGTAAACACACACACACACACACACACACACACACACACACACACACACACACATATAGTGTGTTTGCGTGCACACAGAGATTAGAAGCGAGTATGATTGTATATCTGTTTTAAGAAATACATGTATTTGCATTATTATATTTTAAACCGTATTGTACGTACTTATGTACAGACACAGTGATTAATGTATGCATGCCTATATATATTATACATACATACATATACATATATATATATATATATATATATATATATATATATATATATATATGTATGTATATATATATTATTGGGTATTAGGGCAGTAGTTCTTCTATTATACAAGTTTCATTAGACAACAGACGAGGTGCAGCGTTTAAGCTTTTATTCAATTTTTCGTTTGTTCGTATAAATCATTGTTAACTACCTGATGAGACGTTTTATTAAACGGCGAAACAAAATGTATAATTTTGTAGTCATTACTTACATGTTCTAATGTAACAGTGTATAATAAATATTTATTGGTCTATTCTTGTATTGAGGTTTGTTTTAAATTAATGTTTTGAACGTTGCAATTTTATTCTTCGTTCCTTTACATTTTGTATATATATATATATATATATATATATATATATATATATATATATATATATATATATATATATATAAACCTTGGTCACTGTATTGAGCACTTTATTTAGTTATTTTTGCGTACTCGCATCGGGGGTTTTTCTTTGGGCTTTGGACTTGCATGCTAAACGATTATTTTCGGCTAACGTACATGTTCTTGATTCTTTCTTTTTTATATATCTTTTTCCTCTTTGGTATTGGTTTGATTACTTGCAAATCAAGACATCGAAGGTTTTCCGAACGAGTATAGTTTCTTATACTTATATGATTTCTATTAATAATAATAATAATAATAATATATATATATATATATATATATATATATAATCCGACATTACCGTCACTTTTTGTTCCTGTTCTGTCATCTCTTTATACTTATATGATTTCTATTAATAATAATAATATTAACCATAATAATAATAATAAAAAAATAATAATCTGTCATCTCTTTACACAAATTCGTAAGTTAGGCTACTCGCTGTTTCACCTTGCGTCTCTTGTATTCAGAATGTCCTGTGAGTCTAAGATATCAAATGGCCGCTTTTCTCATTCTTTTTAAATTTGTCTTGTACCTTCCGGCCATTGGCGATCATGACTATCCACAGTTTCCTGTTTTTTGTTTCTCTAAGGAAATTTTGATCCTTAACTCTCCCTTTTTGTCCTTCTTCTGATCTTTATTCTCATAAACTGATCTCTCTTACTCCCTGCTTCTCTAGGCTTCAGTACTACTGCTAAATAATAGTTTAGCTGACTAATATCTTTAAGAGAGGTGTATTTTGCTCTGGCTTCCTCAGTCTGACCTTTGTGTTCAAGATACAGGACAAAACAAAGGAAGTCGATTTTGATTGGCTGAACGAGCGTGGGAATGATAGAGATATAGAAAGGTTTTTTCAATAAGTCAAATCTTACACGTGGAACAATGTAGACATGTTCTCTGTCGTGTCAAGGTCTTCTCCCCAGTGGGATGAGAGAACGACCCCACTGGATATTTAAAAATGACGTGTTTAATAAACTAGTAAGATTAAAATTCCCTTTGTTGATGTCTTTCATCCCCGGACCTAAAAACATTCCGCCGCGAGAAGACGAGAGAGAAGACAATTCTATTATGGAATCGACACCGTCAACCAAGACATCCCCAGAACGGGGGTGGGGAGTATACAAGACTACCCTGTGTTAAATTCTCTAGGCACTCTTTCCTCGTTATGTGCCCCATCTAGTTTCTTTCTAATCGTCTGTATCAGATTCTTTGTAGATCCAATTTTCCTTGAAACATTAATGTAACTCCCATCTTTTATGACCGTTGTATTCGCAGTCCTTTATTCATCTCTGAAGAGATTGTCCAGCATTCACTGTTAAATATTAAATATTAAAGTTAAATATGACGCAGCATTTTAACACACTAGTCTTGTTTTTCAACACTTTTTTTTACTTCAGGGTGCACATGTAGATTAGCTATAAGTCTCGGGTTCACTTTAAATTTTAATAAGGAAAAATTACTCTTGAAATTTGATAATAGGAAAATAAAGAAAATGACATTTAATGGTTGTCATTTTTGGCTTAGCATTCCCAAAGAGGATTAGCAGTACAGTTTTTAGTTAAAGGGAGTTATGAAGAATCCAATACCTTGCCCGATAATGACTGATTTACATTCCTTGAGGAAGGCAAAAGAGAAAGGATTATCCACTCATTTTTAAAGATTAAGGAATTTTATCATCCAGTTTAAAATATCAAATAAAGACCTGACTTAGACATGGAAGTCATGACCTTGGTATCTTAAGCTTTTTAAAAATAAAGAGTTTTTAAATATAAAAAGAATTACTCTTCTGTTAACTTGGAGCGCACCTGGTTACATTTCAGTGCGTATTAGTGCGTCTGGGCGCACTAGTGCGTCTGGGCGCACCGCTGCTCTAATCAATAGAAAAAAACATACGACAGATGACATCCCGCTAAGGTATTGAGATGGCGAAGTCATTCTTTTTTGCCTGACTAAATTAATCCTTTATATATAAGAGTTGCAGTACAGCATTGGGCAACCTTAAGTAATTTTCGTTTACTTTTAATGCGACCTAGATGCATTGGCTCTTTTCTGCTATCAATTTTCCGTCTGCTTAGCTTTTCATGTTCATATAGAACAGCGTGATTTCAGGCCCGCCAATCTGCGCGTAGAGCTTGTCATTCATTGCGGTTACGCGCGCTTATGAGATATTTTTAAGTAAAAGCGTATCGATGTCTTCTTTCTTTTTTCTTCCTCTAGTTCTTTCTTTGTGCAACTGTGGGTCACAATGCATCCTGATACCTGAAATGAAACTTCGTAAGACGGCTAATAAAAAAATGTCATAACTAAATGCGTCAATACTCCCAGCAGTTGAACGTCTGGTAATTAATGAGCTTCAGTTAAGATTCTGAAAGGAATTAAGTTAGTCTTGCAGAACTGCAGAAATTCCTAATAAAGGCAATAAAGGAAAGCGTGAAGAAAGGACGAACGATCAAATGTAAGAAAACAGAATGCATGGTTGTCAGCAAGAGGCTCATCATTATAAAATGGAGATGAGAAAATTAAACACGCACGAAAATATAAATGTCGGGGAAATGTTTTAACAGAAGACAAAAGAATGTGTTACACAAATCCGAAGGCGAATTGGAATAGCAAAAGATGCCTCCTAAAAGCTAAGCAAAGTGTTAAGAAACAGAAAAGAATATAAAAAACGAAGAAAAAGTGATCAGTCGTTATATAATATCAGTCTTTGTATATAGCAGTGAATGCTAGAGAATTTCCTTACACACGAAGAGAAGAACTGAGAAACAGAGATATGGTTCTACAGTAGGATGATAAGAATGCCAGGGATGGATAGGGTGAGAAACGAGAACGTTTTAAGGACACATAAAAGACGTTTATACTCATAATTTGTTATGGAGTGGTTTCACAGTGGAGGCTTGTATTTGTACTAAGTCGGTCCGAAAATAGGTTCGACGTACAAAACGTTAGGAACTTGATATAATAGGTAATGACGCAGAGAAATCTAGTTGTGGTCGCTGATACTTTAGTATCCGATTCACGGTCGTCCGGCATCGACTATATTTAGTCAGTCCCCCCCCCCACGAGGGCATCATGTGGCACAAGGCCGGTTTAAGGTGGGATCTCCGAGCCCGTGGGCCCGGCCAAAAATATGCCATTGAACCCATATAAACGGGTTCAGGGTCGGTTTACCTCCCCGAAAGAGACTCCGCCCTTCGGCGTAGCCTCGTTCGGGTTCCTCCCCGCCCGAAGGCGGAGAGTTCAACCGATCAGGCGGTCGCCCGACTTCAGGCTGAACTCCCTGCTTCCTCTTGACTGACTGCCCACTGAGCGACTTCTACTTTATAGGTGGGAGAGTCTGTTAACAATAGAATAGGTGTGTTCCACTATAACATAATTAGAAAGAAATAATTGAAATTTCATTAAAACATAATGAAGAAATGTTTAATTCGTTTTTTACTGATTATCAACCCATTGCAGGTTATTTAAAGCCAGAAAATATTTTTAGATTGTAAGAATTCTCTTTGAGATAATAATGATTTAGTGATACAAGTATTACTAATTAACCCATAGCTTGGGGGATAAGAGATGGATGCATACGTTTCCAAAGGGTAATTTGCGCGTAAGTGAATCTAACGAACCCAACTTGAATTGGATCTCGGTTCGTCGATTAATAATTCCGAGACGTTATCCATGACATCACGTACACGTTGAAGCTTACATCACCTGGTATTCCCAAGCGGTCACTCATCTAGGTACTGGTCAGGCTCGAGATTCCTTAACTTCGATGATCATATGAGAACTGATGTTTCAATATGATATGGCCGTAAAGAAGGCTTGGAAAAGTTGACGCTCTCAGGGCGTATTGAATGGAAGAGTTGATAGAGAGAAACAGTGAGTAAACCTACCTAACGTGCTTGTGTAAAATGAATGACAAAACAGGGAATGGGAAGGCTTTCAAAAGCTGAGCAGGATGGGTAAACTGTCGTCATTTTATAGTTTTAATTTCGCGCGTGCGCGTTGTTTATTTTTGATCTTGTCGACTACACAGTATAAGAGAATCGATTAGGCACCTTGTTAAGAAGGATAGGAAGTTGTGGAGAGTCATGATCAACCGCTTTTTGAAGGGACACAGTAAATAGAAGAAGATGGATATTTGATTATCAATGCTTTAATCTTAATTTCTATTGTTTTTCATCTCAACTATTCAGATCTTCAATCCTCGACCGACTATAGCCTGTCGCATATAACTTTACGCTGAAACTTTTTCTTATTTAGTTTTCAAAAACCTGTCTGATTCTCATTAATTACCAAGCGTTCGACTAACGGACTTATTCCATGCATTTACTTGATACATGTTTTTTTTTTAGTCGTCTTATGAATCTCCAAGCAGGCATTAGGGCGTGTTATGAGCAACAGTCGGGCAAACGAAGAAAAAGAAAATAAGTGGGACAAATCGGTAGCCTTTTACTTAGAAATATCTTCTAAGAACATAAAATATTTTTTTTATCGCAATAGATGTCAACCTTTATATGGAGGTCGGTGAGCCACGGTTTTATTTTTTTTTCCTTAATAGGAGCAGATAGGTTAGCCTAATTCTGTCATTTTGTTATCTCTCCTAAACCCTGATCTGCGATCAATTTACTCGTCTTCTTTCCTCATTATGTGCCCTAGAAATTTCAACTTTCTGATGCATTGGCGGCCACAATCTTAACAACATAAGATACGCAGACGTCACAGTACTGATACCAGACATGGAAAAGAAATTACAAAATTTTCTACAGAAGGTAGCGTCGGAGAGTGAGAAGAAAGGACTAATCATAAACTACAAGAAGACAGAATGCATGGTCATCAGTAAAAGGATGAGCCCGAAATGTAATTTGCAGGTCAGAAACACTAGAATCAGGCAGACGCAGAATTTTAAATATCTGGGAACTGTCTTGATAAAGGACGTGCAGCATTGAGATCCGTAGACCAAGTCCAAGGACACATTCCAAAAGCTGAGCAGGATTTCTTTGGTAATAAAGAAAAGAATACTGAGCTGTTACGTGACATCTATTTTTCTTTACGGCAGCGAATGCTGGACGATATCCTCAAAGAAGAAGAGACTCGAGGCGACGGAGATGTGGTTCTACAGAAGGATGCTAAGGATACCATGGGCCGAGGATGTGAGCAACAGTGAGGTCTTAGAGAGGTTACAATCAAGGAGAAGGCTTATACTTAACATCAGAAAGTGGCAGCTGAAGTTTCTGTGACACATAATGAGGAAGGAGGGTCTGGAGAATCTGATACTCACGAGTCAAATAGATGAAAAGAGAAACAAGGAAAAGCAGCACGTGACATACCTGACGAACTTGAGCAGGTGGATGACAGAACGTGGTCTGGAGGAGGAAGCAGAGGGAAGGAGCTTGCTGAGAGCTGCAAGGGATAGATGGAGGTGGAGAGCCATGATTGCTAACGTCCTGAAAGAACATGGCACATAAAAAGAAAAAAAGATGTAATGAACAGGTTCACCTATAGTCTGGTTCGCACACCTCTCCGCTCTTTTGAACAAGAGTAGAGGTTTATCCCTTGTTTCCCGTTTAGGATTGGGTTTCCGGTCCCTTCTAAAACCTTCTCGTTTTTTACACCCATTAACCTCCTTGCGTCTTAGTAGCATTATCGCCTTGCTTGGGGTGAATTGATTTGCAAAAACAAGGAGAAAACCGATAGCAAAAACAAAAGGCCAGCGCAGTCTAGGTGGAATTAAAAGGTAAACAAAAAAATACTTAGCTGATCTAAGATTGCCACAAGGGCGTATTGCAACTCTTATTTATAAAGTACTTTGTCTCACGAGAATAATATTAAGTCATAAAGAAATAGTCAGCCCATCTTAATTTAATATACAGGGTGTTCCAAAAGTAAAATTACCATTGATAACCTTGTAAATTTTATATTTATTTACCAAATGGAATCATGTTTCTTTGTGAGACGATATTATTAAGAACATTTATGTGCTCAAATTATGGAAGATGATGTCATGCAAATTTTCCCTGGTTGCTATTTCACAAGTGTACGTTTTCTGCCAATTTTTGCGTGACTTTTGGAACACCCTGTACAGGGTGCGATGGGTAAATTGTCGTCATTATATAGTTTTAATTTCGCGCATGCGCGTTGTTTGTTTTTGATCTTGTCGACTACACAGTATAAGAGAATCAATTGGGCACCTTCTATGAGAAAGAGAGCACCATGACGTAATTCACTCCGCCAGAAATTTGGAAACGGCCTGCTGTACTGCTTGGCATTCGCACCTGAAGCTCGAATACAAACAGTCCAGTGTGTCTGAGGACAGTGCAGAGAATTTGGAAAGAGTTGAATGATACATCCAGTGAAGATCATAGTGTTTGGAGTGATCACTAGTCATGGCAACGTTATGCTTCCATTCATCTTTCAAAAGGACCTCAGACTCAACACGGAAGACAACATCAAGTGCCTTGATGAGGTAGTGCTAACCTGCGTCAAGTGGGTGACTGCTGGAGGATCTATGTCTGAAAATAGGACTCCGTTACGGCACACAAGCAGGAGAACCCAGTCATGGCTGTCAGACAGTTTCTGTGACCACATCACCCCTTACATCTGGCTATCTAAATCCCTAGATTGCAACCCGCTTAATTTTTATGAGTGGTGCAGTTGAGTGAGATACCAACAAAACTCCTTGTAGCATCAAAGGAAAGGATTATGGCTGCAGTAACCAATTTAAACAAGGAGATCGTCCCGAAGAGACGCAGGAGATTCGTCGTCTGGAGGCCGTAGTTGAAGGCAATGGCGATTATATTCAATAAATTTACTCTTTCGTAATTCGTGATATTTTTGTGTAGTTTTGGTAAATGTATCTGTTAAAATGAGATGTCAGTGTTATTTTCATTTTTGCGTAATTTAGACGACAATTTATCCATCGCGCACTCAAATTGGCATCGTTTTGTAGCCTAATAACATATCCAATTCTCACACAAATGATCTTACATTTTAACAACGTGTAAAAACTAACCAATGGCCGTAAACCCGTAACGAAGTAAGAAGGCTTGGAAAAGTTAACCCTCACAAGGCATATAACAGATGGAAACAGTGAGTAACCGACTTAACGAACTTGTGTAAAACTGATCGCAGAACAGGAAGTGGGAAGGGTTGTACAAAGAGATTGCTAAGAGATACAAAGGATAGGAAGTTGTGGAGAGTCATGACCACTCGCGTTCTGAAGGGACACGTTAAACAGAAGAAGGATATTTGAATATCATTGCTTTAATCTTAATTTCTATTGTTCTCCAATACGGAGTTATCAATGGGGACTTATCTTAATATGATTCTACCAAGAAGATGGATCGGGCGTGCCAGTGATAATGACAATGTGCTTTTGAAATGGCCACCACGTTCATCTGACTTGATACCTTGTGATTTTTTAAAATATGGGGCTATGTGAAAGGACAGGTCTATATCCCGACTCTTCCTACAAGCCTAGGGAATCACTGAGGCACTGGAGAATGTTACACAAGACATGCTACAGCGTCTTTGGTAGGAGCTGGACTACGGATTCGACGTGTGTTGTGTCATAGGTGATGTACATATTGAATATTCGTGAAGCTTTGCGAAATCAGTTATAAAATCTATATCCCTTTGAATATCTTGTTCAAATTTTGATATTGTTCAACATGAAGTTTATTTAATTTCGTTAGCCTGGGACATGTAGTTACGCAGATATTCACATTTTAAATGATGTCGATTTTGGGGGGCTACACTGTATATTTGCATATAATTTTATTATTGATAATGTTTACATATATTTGCTTTCATCTTGATTTCAGTTACCTTTCATCTCAACTACTCAGATTTTAATTCTTTGGCCATTAATAAATAGTGCCAATCAGACATAGCTTTTCACTGAGACTTTTTCTTCTATTCTGGAAGACTATCTTAGAATTACAGCTGTTCGATTGATTTACCTACGCAAATCAGCGGCTGGAGTCGATCAACCGTTTAGCTCAATTTATTTTCTCTGTATACCCGTCGCCACCAGCTTTAATTATGTCCTATTCGTAATATTATCTTGTGATGAAAAGTAACGGAAATTAAAATGAATCAAATACTAGTAAAAGATTATTAATAGTTCATAATGTTTCTTTAACTAATAATAAAATTAAAGACAATATTACTAATAATGGATGGCTGGCCACTCGTATCCGAGGAAGCTCGTCTACTAGGGCGGCCAGCTAATCCCTGTTGCAGACGTCTACTCAGGGACATTTGTGTTTGTTCAACACCCACATAGTCCATCTGTGGTTTATACTGCAACTATGATGAACGGACGTAGTTACAGTTTTTGAAGCATTATCTATGTGATGAACAGTCTGGACAAGGCCAGCACGCTCAAACTCTCGGTCACGATGACTTCCAACTTCGTGCTAACACAACCATCAGCGGCTCCCAAACGGTTATGTCTACCGAATTTCACTCACAAGGCTTGGGTCAACCCGTGGTATGGTTTCCAGGCACTTTCCAAATATGCCGCATACTGAGATCGCCTCCTCCTGACTTATAACATCAAAAAGTTAGCTTTCTGAAAAATCGATCATGGTGAGATTCGAACTCGGGTCTCATGCTCAGAAAGTCACGTGCCCGTTTTACTAATAATACTACGGGAATATATAAGCTAACAGCGTGACCATTCGTGACAAATGAGAAATACACGTATTATGTGATTCACACCAAGAAGTCTGCATCAAATTTAATGTCAATCAGGAACATTTGATATAAGAGGAGTTGACCTGTGGTAACCTCGGAATTGACCGCCCAATG